GATTGGATCGTGATCGGATCGCGAAGAGTACGACGACATCAACTGCGTTTCTTAATGCTTCCGCTTAGCAATCTACAAGGGTATATGGATCCAATCTCTCCCCTCGTAGATGTTCATCTCCTAGATTGGTCTTGGTGAGTGTAGATTTTTTTCCCATGCAACGTTCCCCAACACAGTGCCCTTTCTGAACTCGGTCTAAGCTAACAATACCTTTATGACAACAATTGTTTCAATGCTCACCAACCTGACAACCAAGTAGTAACTAAAATACATGACTGTATCTACATGTATTCATGCAGTTCAAATGGAAATATCAATATTCCATCAAGTTTTTATTTGATGCCAACTTCGCTTCTTTCCGTTTGAAGCATTTTATTCTTCTTTTGAGTAGTTTATAAAAAATATGGTAGTTAAAAGTCCCGCCGCAACGCGCGGGATATCACCTAATATATATGGTAGTTAAAAGCCCCGCGGCAACACCCTACCACCGACAGGTCTCCTTCTGTTCCGCGGAGCCTTGTTGGTCTCGATCGTATGCCTAGTAGCGTAAAAAACCCTCGGTTGGGTTCCCAACTGGGGGTTGAGGGTTGGGGACCTCCTATCGGGCGCTTTAAGCACCGGTTAAGGTTGGTGGCGCTCGTATAAACATAGCAATTCTGATTGTTGCATGGAAGACAGCGTGGCACCAAAACCACTTGACCAGTATAAATTATTCTAAGAAAAGTTCATGAATTGAAAAAAGTTCATAAATTTCGAAAAATATTCATTTATTTAAAGAAAAGTTCATTTATTCGAAAAAAATCATCGAATTTTAAAAAGTGCATCAAATTAAAAAAAATCATTGATTTGAAAAAAGTTCATCGAATTTGGAAAAACTTCAATCAAATTTGAAAATTATTTCATCAAATTTATTAAAAAATGTCTACAAATCTGAAAAAAAACATCAATTTTTTTTAAAAGTTCACTAATTTGAAAAAAAGTTCACGAATTTTGAAAAAGGTTCATCGATGTTGAAGAAAAATCTTTAATTTGAAAAGAATCCGCGCATTGAAGAAAAAGGAAAAAAAGGAAAAAAAGAAAAAGAAAAACTGAATAAAAACGTCTGGAAAAAACATTGTGCTCATATAGAAAAAAACCCAAATGGGACATTTGTCCTAGTGGTTAGCGGGCTTCCCCTCCAATGGTTAATGGCAAGGTCAAAGCTTGCCGCCTACACCTTTTTTTGCGAGAGTTTATAGAAATAAAATGGACCGGCCCAAGTAAGAGTGCCTTCAGGGCTAGTTAACAAAATGCACGTTAATGGACGCTGAAGGAGCGAATAGGAAATGCGTGAGGGTTAGGTGTCTTCCTAACCCGCACCACGCTTATTCTTTCGCATCGTGGTCTATAAGGATTTTTGAAAAGTCTTTGCATTTAATCCTTTTGTTCCTTCTCTACTATCAGGGCTATTTCAATATGCAATATCTTGATTCGATGTATGATAGCTTTTGGAACGTTCTGACACGTCTCCGTGCTAAAACGTTAGAGATGCCTTCGTCTTGGCAATTGAAGCGGAAAGCCCCAGTGCTTCCGTGTCACAGCAATTCAGGATCTTGTTCTTAATAAACGAAAATTGCATCCAAACCAAATGATCAGCTTGGTAAGCTATCAACAACAAAAAAATGAAAATTGCATCCTAAACTGTGGAACCGTTTCGTTGGGCTTTTGCGTGACATGATCGAGATCCCCAGGCATTTATCGACCCTAAACTATTTTTTTTTGAGCACCAGTACAGACACAAGCGCTCATATACACGCGCATACACTCACCTGAGCCGGCATATCATCTTAAGATTTACGAAGTCACCGTAGGCGCCTCGTCGTCGACGGGAACGTCTCCTCCCACTAAAAGCGCATCGCCGAAAATCCTGAAATAAATTCAGAAATAATACGAGCACCAGATTTGAACCCTGGTGGGTTGGGGATACCACTGTCCATCTAACCAACTCTCGCATCGACCCTAAACTATTGGGGCGATACACAACGTGGGCGGTGGGTGGGATAGGAATTTTGATTCCAGCTGATTCAATGTCGGTTTCCTGGGAAAATCCTCGCAAGGCTGGGTGATTGGGTTAACCGTGTTATCTGGACGCGAGTTTGTATCTAAGCTCCAGGCTTGGCCCATTTGATCAAAATCGTGATCTATTCAAGTGTTGAACCGTTTCTTGGCGGAGACCATATGGGTGGCTTCGGCTACATCCAAAGTCTCCGCCAAGGGTCCAATCACCAGATCTATTTCGTCAGATTTTCATTCCTGACGACGAGCAGGTGCTTCTGGGCTTCGGTTGAACCGAGGCCTTGTGTTTCCGACGTAAGGGGTACGTCGTCATGGATCTGATCGTCAAGCGACATCTCATCGCTCCTTCGTGACCACACATCAGTACCTGCATGGGCCACAAATATCGGTGCTAAAATCGACGGATCTTGGGTAGGGGTCCCGAGCTAGTGATCTTGGCACGATGGTAATAAAACAAATGGGGACACGATAGTTTATCCAGATTCGGACCCTTTCTAAGAGGTAAAACTCTATGTCCTGCTTGTTTTGTATTGATTATGGATGTGGTACAAAGTACAGGATAATCTACCTCAAAATCGTATAAATAAGCTCTAGTCTAAAAATCTTGCCTCTACATACTAAAAGCCTCTGCTTATGTAGGCACCAGGGGGTTTCTAGGCTTACAACTATGATGACTATAACTAGGGATAACATTTTTTTTAGAAAAGGAGGATGATCCCGGTCTCTGCATTTGGGCGATGCATACGGCCACTTTATTAATTATTCTCACAAGACCTTACAAAGTAATACAACAGTAAGACTAAAGCCGTCGTCTAAGCAACAAATTGTCGCTACACCTATCCAGTTGATGAAGGGGCGCAGATAGCCTAGGCCTAATACCAAACAGACATCGCAGCCAAACCTAACATCTAAGACCTAAGAACCCATCCAGGACGCCTGCCGGGCATGGGTCTCGCCGGTCCGGCGTGCTCTCAGAGGCCGCCGCCGCCAACTGCCATCGCTCCATCTTCAGAACTGTACTGATGCATCAACCTTGCTCGGTCTAGCTATCGTCGACGCCACCACAGCGTCCAACGGTACCTCCTCCCTGCACGCAAACAGCTGAGCACGTCGCGGTCGCCGCTGATACACCTCAGCACCATGCTGCCAAGTACCACCAGCCGACACAACTTGAAGTCTTTGAAAGATCTGTCGTGCGTAGCACCTGCCGACCAGGCATGACTCAGCGTAGCACCTGTCGGCCAGGCATGACTTGACAGCTCCACCGAAGCTCCGTGCAAGACGAAGCCGCTCCACCTCCCGCCTCTGTCTTCCAGCGCTGCTCCACAAACGATGCTCCCAAGAGAGAGACGGCACCGTAGTACCACCATCGTTCGATCTGGAAGACCAGATCCTAGGGTTTCCCCCGAAGCAGCACGAGTGGGTTGACAATAGTTACACGACGATGCCTTCATCAAGGTAACGACGCAAAACGCCGCCATCGCCCGCCAACGGCTCGGTTTTCACCGGCAACTATGTCTCCCCGACTCGTAGTCGGGACTAGCTGACGGATCTTGAGATCGATCACCCAGCCGCATGCCGATCACCTCTGACGGAAGAGATGACCACCACCGCCGACTGCACCGGTCAGAACAGATCTGACGGAGGTGCCGCCTACGCGACCACTAGGCCCTCCACGCCGCCGCCGCCGATCCAAAGGCAGATGGCGCACCGCCGCCATCGCCGACCGCAGTGCCGCCGCCGCCCGAACAGGGCTGGTCGCCGCGCCCGTAACCCGCGCCGCCTCCGATGCCGCCGCACCATAGCCATCACCGTTGCCTATCGGATCTGAGGCGCCTCCACATGATTCGGGGATCCGCACAACCCCAGATCCACGGGAGAGAGGTGATGTTTTCCGCCACCGCCGTCGGCCCCTGGGCTTAGACCGGCGGCGTCCCCCGGCGACGGCGGAGGATGGGGAGGAAGGAGTATGCGCCCCGGCGGCTGGGTAGGGAGCCGCCCGAGCCGCCCTAGCGGGGACGACGCAGGGGCTGGGACCTTGCGTGATGGTTATTGTGATCCTCAGTGCCTGAAGATGCAAGGCCTCTAGGGATAGCATGCCGATCATTCAAAAACGCCTTGAAGTGTACGACAAGTCTTCGGAGGATTCCATCATACGCTGCGGGCCAGGGCATGTGTGGCCCATTCTTCGGTTGTCGGTGGGTCCTCGGCTCGGCCCAACAATGGCGGGCTGATGTGGTGTAGACCCACTAATCCAGGACACTGTCATCAGGTGCTTCAGATCTATGAGGAGTTCAACAGCGATAATTGCGGTTCCAGGGCGTTGGTCCTTAGAGACACGTGCACGAAGACTTCCGGTTGTCCTCAGAAGGTCAAGCCAGCTCAGGTAGGGGAGCAACGACAGCGGCACATCACCTGCTCGTTCTGAAGGCAATAGTGGTTGTTGATGGTCTCGGAATCTCAATGTATTTTTTGTTATGTTTGAGATGTTTTGTATTTTTGATGATTCTTTTTTAATAAATCGGGTCCTTTTCTTTCCCGAAAAATGAAAACTTGGTCGATGACTGAGATATTTCTCTTCTACCATTCATGTGGCTTGCAACTGCAACCGCACAGATTTGTGGAAAGTGACACTTGCGAGAGCTGACAAGCTAGGTGGCAGAACTAGTTAAAGAGTGCCCACGTGGTTGTGAGTAGTGCATGCAACTGACTTCCGGTCTGTGGAAAATGCATAGAAGCTTGTAGATTTCCACAAGGAAGAGAAGAAAAGTCATGCCAACATAACATGTGAGACGCCGCGTCCGTCCCTCCCACCTCTATATAAACTCATCGGCGAAAGAGCAGTTCCCATCCCATCCAGCTTCAGCCAGCAGCAAGTCCAATACACACACCCACACAAACTAGCTAGCAGGTTGTGACTGATCACCGTGGTCGACGAGACGACGATGGCCGCACGCCCGATGCTGGTGGTGGCGCTGCTGTGCGCGGCGGCGGCGGCGGCCACGGCGCAGCAGGCGACCAACGTGCGGGCGACGTACCACTACTACCGGCCGGCGCAGAACAACTGGGACCTGGGCGCGCCCGCGGTGAGCGCCTACTGCGCAACCTGGGACGCCAGCAAGCCGCTGTCGTGGCGGTCCAAGTACGGGTGGACGGCGTTCTGCGGCCCCGCCGGCGCCCACGGGCAGGCGTCCTGCGGCAAGTGCCTCCAGGTGACCAACCCGGCGACGGGGGCGCAGATCACGGCGAGGATCGTGGACCAGTGCGCCAACGGCGGGCTGGACCTGGACTGGGACACCGTCTTCACCAAGATCGACACCAACGGGATCGGGTACCAGCAGGGCCACCTCAACGTCAACTACCAGTTCGTCGACTGCCGCGACTAGATTACGTTCTCCGTCGATCGATCAAAGGGCTAGCTAGCTATGATAAGAATAAAAGGCTAGCTAAAAGTAAGTTGAGACTGATCCATGCTGTTAAATAAAAGCTAGCACGTGATGCTGCATTGTATACGTGTTACGTGTATACAGTACGTACATGGAACGAAATAAAGTGGAACAGACCAAACGGGTTATCTATTCATGTATGGATTGTATTGTACTACTACCAGTTTACTGAAGCTTCTCCAACAGCTCCCGTAAATAACTCCTGGTAAAACCATTTTTACGGGTTTCCGCAAAATTTAGTGGAAGTTGACGGTTGAGGTATTTTCTCGGTTCCTGTAAAACTTTCCCTAAAAATGGTTTTGGCAGTGGCGCGATGGCGATGGCATACTCCGGCGGCGGTGGCTGATGGCGGACAGCAGAGGTCGATGGTGGTGGGTTGGTGGGCGGCAGCGCGGCGGCCTCCGGTGGTGGTTAGCTAGCTGACGTGTAACTTTTATGAGACACCTCGTCTTCCTATTGATGGAGGGAAACTTTGAGAGAAATTATGAAACCTCGTAAAAATGTGCACGTTTACGGGATATATTTTGCCCTAGTTCTGCTATAAAGTGACTATGAGCAATGCTAGATGTACGGAAAGTTACAGGGAGCTTACAGGGCTGATGGGCTGTGATTGGCAGAGATTTAATTAGGAGGGCGGGTCCACCAGTGAAAATCAGGAGGGGCCAATTAGATGAGGCCACTAGTAGAAAATGGGGCAATGGTCCAGGCCGGGTCAGCCCATTAGTCCCGGTTCAGTCTAGAACCGGGACCAATGGGGGCATTGGACCCGATTCGTGAGTCCAGGGGGCCGGCCGGGCCACGTGGGCCATTGGTCCCGGTTCGTCTGGACCTTTTGGTCCCGGTTGGTGGGACGAACCGGGACCAATGGGCCTGGCTCCTGGCCCACCACCATTGGTCCCGGTTAGTGACCTGAACCGGGACCAAAGGCTGCCCTTTAGTCCCGGTTCATGCCACGAACCGTGACCAATGAGGTGCCTATATATACCCTCGCCCGCGAGCAGAGCACTCCAGTGCTCTGTTTTTCTCTGGCCGGCGAGGGGAGGGGTTTGTGTGGTGCTCTAGCTCACATTCTATGCACAATGAGGTGTTTGATGAAATGCCCGAGCCACACTAGTTAAACTTTCTCCTCTCGAAGCTCGACCTCAAAGCTCCATTTTCCTCGAGATTTGTCTAGATTTAGCGGTCCGTCACGCCCCACCCCCGTCTTCACCGTCATCGATCACCCGCGCCGATCTCATCACCGACACCACCGTGGTGAGCCTCTTGTTCTTATCTTCTTTCTGAAAGGAAAAATATTCTTACTTGTATGTTTAGATAGATACTTGTATCATTTTCTTGCTTTTATTATTGCATCTTATATAGTGCGATGGTTTTGGTATCCGCCCCCGTCGGCCCTCGTCCTGTCTATGATTCGGATGTGGTATATATATTATCTTTATAACTATTGGTTCATTTATTGTTTATGAAAATTATGCGGACCAACGTGACATATATTTTATTTATCTAGGATGTATGTGAATCGGAAATTCCAACCGACCCTATTGTCGAGAGGTTAAATTTAGTTGAAGAAGAAAACAATTTCTTGAAGGAAAAAATAAAAAAAATTGAGGAGGAGAAGATGATATTGGAGTTGCATGTTGCGGATGTCGTCGATGATCACAAGATAAAGATGGATGCAATGCGCTTGAAGATTAGAAATATTAGAGAATATGCCATTCATACCGAGGCTTGGTATCACTATGCCGTTGGATCAATTGTTACCTTGGTTGCAATTATGATCGCCTTTTTTTTGCATTTAAATGTTTTACATAGTTTCAATGTATGGTTTAATTAATTAGATGCTCTGGAGAGCTATATGTTGTTAGATGAGAACTATGTATGTACTTTGGTTTTAATGTGATGATGAACTTCTATTAATTTAGACACTTAATTATATATAATGCACGCAGATGAACCGGCAATGGATGTACGGTGACAGACACACCTCCGAGTACATTAAGGGCGTCCATGAGTTTCTTGATGCGGCTGAGGCAAACCAGCAGAATGATTTTATGTATTGTCCATGCACTAAATGTGGGAATACGGTGTCTTACTCTAACCAGAAAATCCTTCACACCCACCCGCTTTACAAGGGTTTCATGCCACACTATAATGTTTGGACGAGGCACGGAGAAATAGGGGTTATGATGGAAGACGACGAAGAAGAAAAGTACGATGACAACTATGTGCCCCCTGAATACCGTGATGCTGCAACGGGGGGAGCTGGTGAAGATCAAGAGGAACCAGACAATGTGCCCAATGATGCTGCAATGGGTGAAGCTGCTGAAGATCAAGAGGAACCAGACGATGTGCCCGATGATGATGATCTCCGCCGGGTCATTATCGATGCAAGGACGCAATGCGAAAGTCAAAAGGAGAAACTAAAATTCGATCGCATGTTAGAGGATCACAAAAAAGGGTTGTGCCCCAATTGCGAAGATGGCAACACAAAGCTCGGTACCATACTAGAATTGCTGCAGTGGAAGGCAGAGAATGCTGTGCCTGACAAAGGATTTGAGAAGCTACTGAAAATATTGAAGAAGAAGCTTCCAAAGGATAACAAATTGCCCGACAGTACATACACAGCAAAGAAGGTCGTATGCCCTCTAGGATTGGAGGTGGAGAAGATACATGCATGCCCTAATGACTGCATCCTATACCGCGGTGCATACAAGGATCTGACCGCATGCCCGGTATGCGGTGCATTGCGGTATAAGATCAGACGAGATGACCCTGGTGATGTTCAGGCGAGCCCCACAGGAAGAGGGTTCCTGCGAAGGTGATGTGGTATGCTCCTATAATACCATGGTTGAAACGTCTGTTCAGAAACGGAAAGCATGCCAAGTCGATGCGATGGCACAGTGAGGACCGTAAGAAAGACGGGAAGTTGAGAGCACCCGCTGACGGGTCGCAGTGGAGAAAAATCATGAGAAAGTATTGGGATGAGTTTGCAAAGGACCCAAGAAACGTATGGTTTGCTTTAAGCGCGGATGGCATTAATCCTTTCGGGGAGCAGAGCAGCAATCACAACACCTGGCCTATGACTCTATGTATGTATAACCTTCCTCCTTGGATGTGCATGAAGCGGAAGTTCATTATGATGCCAGTTCTCATCCAAGGCCCTAAGAAACCCGGCAACGACATTGATGTGTACCTTAGGCCATTAGTTGAAGAACTTTTACAGCTGTGGAATGGAAACGGTGTACATATGTGGGATGAGCACAGACAAGAGGAATTTAACCTAAAGGCGTTGCTGTTCGTGACCATCAACGATTGGCCCGCTCTCAGTAACCTTTCAGGACAGACAAACAAAGGATACCACGCATGCACACATTGTTTAGATGACACTGAAAGTATATACCTGGACAAATGCAGGAAGAATGTGTACCTGGGCCATCGTCGATTTCTTCCAACCAACCATCAATGTCGAAAGAAAGGCAAGCATTTCAAAGGCGAGGAAGATCACCGGAAGAAGCCCGCCATGCGTACCGGTGATCACGTACTTGCTATGGTCAATGATTTACACGTAATCTTTGGAAAGGGTCCCGGCGCACTAGCTGTTCCGAATGACGCTGAGGGACACGCACCCATGTGGAAGAAGAAATCTATATTTTGGGACCAACCCTACTGGAAAGACCTAGAGGTCCGCTCTTCAATCGACGTGATGCACGTGATGAAGAACCTTTGCGTGAACCTGCTAGGCTTCTTGGGCGTGTATGGAAAGACAAAAGATACACCTGAGGCACGGGAGGACCTGCAACGTTTGCACGAAAAAGACGGCATGCCTCCGTAGCAGTATGAAGGTCCTGCCAGCTATGCTCTTACGAAAGAAGAGAAAGAAATCTTCTTTGAATGCCTGCTCAGTATGAAGGTCCCGACTGGCTTCTCGTCGAATATAAAGGGAATAATAAATATGCCAAAGAAAAAGTTCCAGAACCTAAAGTCTCATGACTGCCACGTGATTATGACGCAACTGCTTCCGGTTGCATTGAGGGGGCTTCTATCGGAAAACGTCCGATTAGCCATTGTGAAGCTATGTGCATTCCCCAATGCAATCTCTCAGAAGGTGATCGATCCAGAAATCGTACCAAGGCTAAGGAGTGATTTGGCGCAATGTCTTGTCAGTTTCGAGTTGGTGTTCCCACCATCCTTCTTCAATATCATGACGCATGTCCTAGTTCATCTAGTCGACGAGATTGTCATCATGGGGCCCGTATTTCTACACAATATGTTCCCCTTTGAGAGGTTCATGGGAGTCCTAAAGAAATATGTCCGTAATCGCGCTAGGCCAGAAGGAAGCATCTCCATGGGCCATCAAACAGAGGATGTCATCGGGTTTTGTGTTGACTTCATTCCTGGCCTTAAGAAGATAGGTCTCCCTAAATCGCGGTATGAGGGGAGACTGACTAGAAAAGGCACGCTAGGAGCGGACTCAATAATATGCAGGGACGGGCATTCTTGGTCTCAAGCACACTACACAGTTCTACAGAACTCTACCTTGGTGACCCCGTATGTCGATGAACACAAGAACAGTCTGCGCTCCAAACACCCGGAGCAGTGCGACGACTGGATTACATGTGAACACATTAGGACTTTCAGCAGTTGGTTGGAAGCACGTCTCAGAGGTGACAACACTGTTTGTGATGAGTTGTACTTGTTGTCCAGGAGACCATCTTTGACTGTATTGATTTACAAAGGATATGAGATAAATGGGAATACATTTTACACGATTGATCAAGAGCAAAAGAGCACCAACCAAAACAGCGGTGTCCGCTTTGATGCAACAACCGAGAAGGGAAAGGACACATATTATGGTTACATAGTGGACATATGGGAACTTGACTACGGACAAGATTTTAAGGTCCCTTTGTTTAAGTGCAAATGGGTCAATCTGTCAGGAG